TATATTATTAACAGTAAGAAATTAACCGAATTATTATTAGAAGAAAAGCGCTTGGCCGAACCAGAAGGTAAGTTCCGTTATTAGATTGTTTATTTTATGTTTGTATATTAAAGCTAATTTTTAATAATTGATTACAGAGAAACGTTCTGCGGAAGCCGCCCCCGTCGCCAATGCATATTATAATCCATACTATAATCCATATGTTCCTGGTTATGTTTATAAAATAGGCTACGAACACAAACGTTCCGCCGATGCATATTATAATCCATACTATAACCCATATGTTCCTGGTTATGTTTATTATGACCACAAACGTTCCGCCAATGCATATTATAATCCATACTATAACCCATATGTTCCTGATTATGTTTATAGTAAAGCCCACAAACGTTCTGCTGATGCTGATGGTACATGAATTCTTTTAATTTTTTGCGCGTTTATATCCTTAAACTAACTTTTCAATGATGGTCACAGCTCACAAAGAGAAGCGTTCAGCTGATGACGATGACGAAGTTGATGGTATTTTTCTTTTAGCTTTAATTTCTCCGATTTTATTTATTAATACTAATTTTAGTTACTGATTACAGATTAACTGAAAAAGCGATCTTCCTGTGGCTATGGTTAGTTTCTTTTGACTTCTCCGCTTATATATGCAGTATATTAATACTAACATTATTGTTGTTGGCTTTGAAACAGATGATGGTTATTGTTGGGTTATATATGCATAGAGTTTGTTTATTTGTATTTTACTTAGAAATATAGACTGCTAAACCCGTGATGTCATTTTGACAAATATCTTTGAATTTCATCTTATGCATACTTTATTAATTAAAATAAAGTAATTCAAATTGAGTTAAAAATCTTAAAAATAACACGAATCAAATTGAAACACGATTATATAAATATAAGTATTTGGGTTATACCTAACTAAAAATGATTATTAATTTCGTTATAATTTAAAAGAAAAAAATTTATACATGCAACGAGTGAAACAATAAAAATAGTAATTTGTAGTCAATTGTATGTATTTTAATTGCTTTAAACATTAAATAAACATTAAATTATCAAATTTTTAAATTTTTCTAACACTAAGAAATGGAAACCGAAGCTAATAAATGTTACACGTGCGGACAGACAGAATCCACATGTGACCTATATTTTCGTGTCCTTTGACAATAAATCAGGATTATATTAAAATGACGTAATTTTAACCACGCGTATTTTTTCAGATTATAACGCGTCCCTTCTATATTTAGATCTTACGCACAATCTATGTGATCAATAGAATATCATGGAAATTTTTTTCATGAGAACTTTTATTAGATATATAAATGCCTTGGTTCGTAAAAAATTTTTTCACACTTACTTCCGCAACCTTTCTTAAATACTTCAAAAACATCACAACCTTCCTTA